ATGTAATTGTAGTATCAGCTCTTGTCAGTAGGTGGCAGCATGAAGGTGCTTCTCTGTCAGGCCTGCAGGTGGAGACATGATGTGTGGTGTTGCTGCTGGAGGTGAATCATTCAACAGAAACTCATCACCAGTTTTTCTGAACCAGTCAAGTTCTGATCGCCTGAAAGGTTCCTGACATATCGAGTCTGGAAAAACAAAGAACCTGGACAGAACCAGATTAGTGTGGTACATGTTGTAACATAGATGATAAAGACATGAGAGTCCTGCCAGATCAAGTGTCTCAGTGTTTTCCTTGGTTATTTTATGTGTCTGGTTCCATTTTCCCTTTTGTCTGATTTTAAATGAATGATTAATAACATTGCCTGCTCAGGTTGTACATATATTGTGTAGCCGGGGCATCTTGTCCATGAAGTATGGTGCGCACTCACTCTTCCGCTTGCCCATGTAGGGGAGACGTTGGTTTATTAGATGTAGCTCAGCAGCCACAGTGATTTTACCTGACAAGTTAACATCACTGTACAAAATGTACTCTTCCCCACATATTTCACTTTGTAAGAGTGAAAAAGAGAACTGGAAAGCACTATGCAGATTGGTGACTAACAAGCAAGAGACTGGGTGGCCACATCTGACAACACATGGTGCAGCCAATCAACAGATTTGACCAAAAGCGTTGTTCTGGACAACAGTGCAAAGCGGTGTCCATCTTGACCCCCCAACCTCAAAATGACAACAGATTTACCTAACAGAGTTGGAGGAACAGATGTTGAAAGACATACCTGAAGATTTGTGGTCAAAGGGCCCATCAGGTGTTGTGTTAAAAGCTGCAGCATTACCACAACAATATTCTGCACAGGCAGCTGAACTAATAGCGTTCACAGAAGCCTGCAAGTTGATGAAAGGGAAAACAGTCACTATTTACACAGACAGTCAGTATGCATTTGAAACAACACATTCTTTTGCACAGTATTGGAAAAACAGAGGCATGGTAAATTCAACTGGAAAACCAGTAGCTCACGCTGCACTGTTAAAAGACTTGTTAACAGCTGTACAGCTACCCAAACAAATAGCAATCTGTAAATGTGCAGCACATACCAGCAATAAAGAGGACATCTCTTTAGGAAATGCATTTGCAGATAAAACTGCAAAACCAGCAGCAATGAAAGAAATCACAGTGTTACTAAATGCAACTACAGAAATTGATGACAAAATTTTACAAGACATGCAACAACAAGCTCCACAAATAGAAAGGAATTTGTGATTAAAAAAGGGGCAAAAGAAACAGAAGGTACCTATAAATGACCAGAAGCATATATTCTAAGCATAGATTCTGTGTTTCCATTAGGTGAGGAAAATCTAATTAATTAACAGAAATAAAAGTCTTGGAAATATTAGTTTGTGTGTAATTGTTCACAGCGAGTGGTTAACGTTCGTTCATGTTGTAAAAATATTTAATTTAGTTGTAAGTTGAGAGGAAACTCAAAGCGGAAAATTGAAGGCGGAACAAAAATTGTTTACAGTTTCTTCAGTGCAGTCAAAGTGAAACACAGGAACCATCTCAGAGCGCACGAGGGAGCATTAGCTGTTCTTTTGTTAGACGGTTTGAAAACAGGTTTGGTGTTTTCAGAAAACATTTCCGTGTTTTTCAGTGAAAATGTCTTCAGTTCAGCCTCAGAGAGAGTTTGTCAAGCAGCAGGAAACTCCTGCTGAAGAAACCTTCACAGAGTGGAAAGAATCAACGTTAAGATGGAGGAAGAGATGGACGATCAGCGCAGACTGATGGATTTTACCCGGATACCCAAGATCATCTTGCACCGGATAGGTACGAAACAGCTTCACGGTTTACTGATTAATCAGGTTAAAGAGAGTTTTTACAGATGAATAATCGTTGTGTTCGGAAACATATTTAAAGAATCCGCTCAAATTAAATAGAAATAGAAAATCCCTGGAGAAATGTAACCGGGGCCTGCTAAAGTGTGGCCCCAGTTTGAACCCAGCGCTCTGATGCTAACAATTAGCATCAATGCTAAGCTAAACTGAATTATAGTCAATAGCCTGTGGAAAGTCACAAGCATGTTGACTAATATGGACTTCCTCCATTCAGTTTGTTAAAATTAGTGTATAATCTAAAATGAGCCAAAATGCTAATGTTAGCCTAAATGCTGCTAGTAGCATGTGGGGCAACATTACAATGTTGTCTTACATTGACTTCCTGCATTCAGGGTCCTAAACATGGCTAATAAATAATTAAAATAGCTAGAAGCTTATTGCAGGGAAAAGGCTGATGCTTGTGCAGCAAAGCAGAGCCCTAACCTGAGAGGAAAAGATCATGCAGGCTAATATTATTGCACTGTCTCTGAGTCGCCCTGCGACAGACTGAATAGAATAGAATTCAACTTTATTGTCATTGTACTGTCACATGTACAAAGCAAGAAGTGCTATACATTTGCGCGCTGCAGATGTTTCTGAATTGTAGGTGGCTGTGTGGATGCCTGTTGAAAAATGCCTCTTGTGTGACAAAACCGTTTGCAAAACATTATTATAGATCCCATTTGAAGCAAAAATGTTTAATGTTGCATTTGGAAAATTAGTTTCAAAGCAAGTTTCAACAGAGCAGCGTTCAGTGCGCTTCGAAAACACCGCATGGGAGCAGAACCAGATTAATGAGTAACACCACAATACCGAAGCTCATCTTGCAGCGGATAGGTACGAAACAGCTTCACGGTTTACTGATAGACTGGTTAAACATCGCTGCATCTGAAACTGTTTAACCTTTCATCAAGCTTCCGAAACTTCCTGATGTCGGTGATTATATGCGACGTCGCACCAGCGCCCACCATCTAACCTCTCCTCCTGATGTCGACCACTCGCGTGTCAGCGTCGCTCACCCGGACAGCAAACTCTTTGTCGCCGCCCGTCTCTTGGACTACTTTCCGTGTGTTGTCCCGTTGTTTTCTCCGTCTGCAGGTTGCGTTGATGTGACTGTTATTCTTACAGTAACTGCTTCCGCTGGCAGGTTCTGCTGATGTGGCCTTTCATCGACATTTAAAGCATATGATCTCAGAACTTCCTGATCCAGGATCATTTGCACCTCTTGGTGAGCATTTCGTGCCAGAATGTGTTTAGCCTTCATCACATTGTCCTCAGATACTGTGGCACGCATATTTTCAATGTCTTCAAAACTTCTGAGTTTAGTCTTAAACTCTTCAAAAGTCAATTTATCACCATCTTCGCTTTGCGTAATATAAACAGCAAATGGCTTCAATGTCCCTGGAAGTCCTTTCAGGACCATGGCGATCAGAAGTCCATCGCTCAGCTCCTCACCTGCATTCCTTAAAGCGGTGATCGCGGATCAGCTCTGATGATGAACTCGGTCACCGACTCACTGAGTGATTTCTGCAGTGAAGTCAGTTCAGTGTGCAAATTAATCACTCTGGGCTTTCCTTTGCCGGCGTAATGGGCCCGCAGGATTCCAAGAGCTGCACGTCCGTCTTCTGCCGCATCATGCATGATAAGTGATAGACTCTTGTCGTCCAAAAACTGAATGAGCTCGGCATAAAACTCAGCATTTTTCTTTGCGTCTTCCTCTTCATTCTCATCATCGGAGGAGCTTGTCAAGATTGTCTGTTTCAACCCTTGCAGTCGAAGATGTCCTCAAAACTTGGTTTCCCATAGTTTGTAATTTTTCTTGTCTCCATCAAAAAGAAGTCTTGACCAGCGGCTGTGTGCCATGTCTTTTTCTCTTCTGTTCAGTTTCCTTGTTTACTTACACAGCAGGTGTTCACGGTCTGTCGATGCATTCACGTTTTCTTCATTGATTCTGGGCCCATAACCTGTTAACAGAATCAGTTTTTCGGCACAGCGTTGAACGTGACATCAAGAGACTCACACGGTTTTGGCTTTCGTGTTGCTCCTTTGTTTGGAGGACACACCCTTTGTACACAAGTGTGTTAAATCAGACGGGTCACGTGATGTGACACACAATGATCCAATAATGATGAAAACAACATGAGAAAACAAAAACATTCATAATGTCAACAGTAAGTTTGCATTTTAATGTAATTGCATATTTCATAAGGTTTGCAGTAAATAAGACTTAATTTATATTATTGTCCATTTTCACCTTTCAGATTTAATCTTCCAAATTGTCCAATATTCATGTCAAATATTTTCAATAGGACCATTTTGCCATTATTTTCTGCATGTGCGCGATTAACAATCACCCACTGTTATCAGTTCTGCTGTGAATCACAGGAAAGTAAAGGCTCAGATTTATTTGTGCTTTTGAAAGTTTGTGTTGAGTGTGTGAATGGAGCAATGTCTGACAATATCAGTGGTTGATTAAAAACACTGTAGTGTTTTGCTTTAGGTATTTTATGTCACTCTTTCATGTTGATATATATCTTGTAGCTACATGGAGGAAGAAAACTTTTTCTGACATTGGTCTGGAAACCACTAGATTAAGTTATCGCCATCTATTTTGCTCACCTGGAGGTCCTTAATGTCATATTTTCACTCACATCCAGTTCTATTCTGGTCAGAAACCTCATTGGTTGAGATAATATTCATTTTTGTAAGACTATAATTATAAAATAACCCAAGAAAATCCTGTTTTGATACAGTGAGGTTAAAGTGAAGAATTTCTTGTTTGATTGACATTTAAAAGCTTTTGTTTTGTCTTTTTGTCCAGATCTCCCACAATGTTGTGTGTGTGAAGAGGAAGGGTTCTCAATGAAACAGAACCACAGAGGAACCAACTCATCTCTCATGGCTCTGCTGAGGATGAGAACCAGGATCAGGAAAGAAGCAATTCTGAAGACCCAGGAAAAAAGAAAAAGGAAGAACAGAAACAAAAGGAGAGATATGAGAAAACCAAACAGCAGAAGAAAGAACTGACAATGAAAATGCTCATCGAGGGCAAAAATTATATTCCTGTAAAATTTGTGATAAAAACTTTTCTTATAACTGTAAATTTTTGAGACACATGAGAATTCACACAGGAGTAAAACCTTTCACTTGTTCAGCCTGTGGGAAAAGTTACGGTGACAGAAGCACTTTAACTAAGCACATGAGAATTCACACAGGTGAGAAGCCTTTCTCTTGTGGGACCTGTGGAAAGAGTTTCTCTAAGAAAGATAATTTAAATGTTCACATGAGAATTCACACAGGTGAGAAGCCTTTCTCTTGTGGACCTGTGGAAAGAGTTTCTCTAAGAAAGATAATTTAAATGTTCACATGAGAATTCACACAGGTGAGAAGCCTTTCTCTTGTGGGAGCTGTGGAAAGAGTTTCTCTGAAAAATGTATTTTAAATGTTCACATGAGAATTCACGGGCGAGAAGCCTTTCTCTTGTGGGACTTGTGGAAAGAGTTTCACCCATAAAGCCGGGTTAAGTTATCATATGATAATTCACAGGTGAGAAGCCTTTCTCTTGTGGAAGCTGTGGAAAGAGTTTCTCTGAAAAACGTCTTTTAAATGTTCACATGAGAATTCACACAGGTGAGCCTTTCTCTTGTGGAAGCTGTGGAAAGAGTTTCTCTGAAAAACGTCTTTTAAATGTTCACATGAGAATTCACACAGGTGAGAAGCCTTTCTCTTGTGGGACTTGTGGAAAGAGTTTCTCTCAAAAAGGTTGTTTAAATGTTCACATGAGAATTCACACTGGTGAGAAGCCTTTCTCTTGTGGGACTTGTGGAAAGAGTTTCACCCATAAAGCCGGGTTAAGTTATCATATGATAATTCACACGGGCGAGAAGCCTTTCTCTTGTGGGACCTGTGGAAAGAATTTCTCTAAGAAATATCATTTAAATGTTCACATGAGAATTCACACAGATGAGAAGCCTTTCTCTTGTGGAAGCTGTGGAAAGAGTTTCTCTGAAAAACAACTTTTAAGTGTTCACATGAGAATTCACACAGGCGAGAAGCCTTTCACTTGTGGGACCTGTGGAGAGAGTTTCTCTCAAAAAGGTCATTTAAATGTTCACATGAGAATTCACACAGGAGAGAAGCCTTTCACTTGTGGGAGCTGTGGAAAGAGTTTCTCTCAAAAGGTTGGTTAAATGTTCACATGAGAATTCACACAGGCGAGAAGCCTTTCTCTTGTGGGACTTGTGGAAAGAGTTTCTCTCAAAAAGGTTGTTTAAATGTTCACATGCGAATTCACACTGGTGAGAAGCCTTTCTCTTGTGGGACTTGTGGAAAGAGTTTCTCTCAAAAAGGTTATTTAAAAGTTCACATGAGAATTCACACAGGTGAGAAGCCTTTTTCTTGTGGGACTTGTGGAAAGAGTTTCACCCATAAAGCCGGGTTAAGAATTCACACGGGCGAGAAGCCTTTCTCTTGTGGGACCTGTGGAAAGAGTTTCTCTCAAAAAGGTCAGTTAAATGTTCACATGAGAATTCACACAGGTGAGAAGCTTTTCTCTTGTGGGAGCTGTGGAAAGAGTTTCTCTAAGAAAGATCATTTAAATGTTCACATGAGAATTCACACAGGTGAGAAGCCTTTCTCTTGTGGGACCTGTGGAAAGAGTTTCTCTCAAAAAGGTAATTTAAAAGTTCACATGAGGTCACACAGGTGAGAAGCTTTTCTCTTGTGGAATCCGTGGAAAGACTTACAATGACAGAAGAAATTTAACTCGTCACATAAAGACTTTCTTATACTAGAAACTTTTGGAAGGAAAACAGATCCGATCCGTTTTGTGTCCAATCCAATGGAAAATCTGGTTGGATAATGTAAACAGCAAGTAGAAAACAAATTCTTGCAGGCTGCTAGTGATTCACTGTGACTGTTTCATTGTCCAGCCATGATAAACCTGAGGTCTGATTTCTGCTATCAGCTTGTTTTTCTTAATCCAGTTTTTTGTTTTAGTTCTCAGTCGTATTTGTGCTTAAGATCCCCATTAGATAGTGAAGTTAAAGAGGGGATCACATTCAGACAGGATTCATTTCTGTGGGTTTTTGTTTTGTTCTGTAGCATGTAGAATAATTTAGTTTAGCTTTTACATTTTTGTGTCTGACTGAATTTAAAATACTTTAGAAATGAAAGCAGTGAAATCTTGTTTTTTTATGAATAAAACTGATGTTTGAATAAAATCTCAAAATAATTTTGATCTGGTCAGGTTTTGATTTAGAGTTAACCACAAACAGATTTATAATTTTACTTTTTTTTGTCATTGTTTTACTTTGGTATGAGAAGCAAAGTTTATGATTAAGAAGGAGTGTTGAAAATGTACCAGTGTTTTGAGCAGAATGTGCTTTTTAATAAACATTGATTTTAATAAATGTTCATGGATTATCCAATGATTGTCGTCATTAACTGTTGCAATATTTTTAAATGTCAGCTTTAAGTAAAGCATCTAAAGATCCTTGCAATAACAGTAAAACTTCAGTTTTACACAAATTTAGATTTTTTCTTAAATATTAAAATTCAAGACATTTTAAAAAAGGTCACATTCATTAAATATTCCAAAATTAAAGTATTTTTCATAACTGATTTATTATTCTAATCTCAAATGTAATGTTTTCATTAGTTATTAATTCTCCCCTGTCAGAAACTACATGGACATTTTTTACACCTTTCAGTTACTGTAACCAGAGAAAACACTGCAGACGATCTGCAACACTGTAATGTGACACAAAAGCAAACCAGAAATCTCTTTTGCATTCAAGAATATTTAAAAAATGTCAAATATTCATAAGTTAGTCAACTCACACAATGTCTTCTGCAGTTAAGAGCTTTGGATTTCTGATCTTTTAGTTTTGTTGACCTCAGTCAAATGAGTTTCCCTCTTTCTGATCTGATGTAGATCAAGAACCACTGAAGGAAAAACATCTTCAAGTTTAAAAACATTAAATACAGGATTTTGTTCGTATTACCATCCAAATTAATCAACTCAAATTTGATTCTTATTTCTCACAGTTGTAAAAATGGCTGAGTCAGTGATTTTTATAACAGCTGTTTGAGCTGAAACAATGTAGTTGTAGTATCAGGCTCTTGTCAGTAGGTGGCAGCATAAAGTTGCTTCTCTGTCAGGCCTGCAGGTGGAGACATGATGTGGTTGTTGCTGCTGGAGGTGAATCATTCAACAGAAACTCATCACCAGTTTTTCTGAACCAGTCAAGTTCTGATCGCCTGAAAGGTTCCTGACATATCGAGTCTGGAAAATCAAAGAATCTGGACAGAACCAGATTAGTGTGGCACATGTTTGTAACATAGATGATAAAGACATGAGTCCTGCCAGATCAAGTGTCTCAGTGTTTTCCTTGGTTATTTTATGTGTCTGGTTCCATTTTCCCTTTTGTCTGATTTTAAATGAATGATTAATAACATTGCCTGCTCAGGTTGTACATATATTGTGTAGCTGGGGCATCTTGTCCATGAAGTATGGTGCTGCGCACTCTTCCGCTTGCCCATGTAGGGGAGACGTTGGTTTATTAGGGAGACGGGTAATCAGCATTTACATTTAAAAGCAGGATGATCGCGGAGGAGATCAGAGCTCAGTCTGATTCATCTAGAGGTTTGTTCAACATGCAGCGTGCGCTGGGTTTACAATTATTTCTGATGCCTCCACTTTATTGTTGCAGGAAACTTGCTCTTAGAGAGGATGTACAGAACTCCATCAGCTGTTTTACTGTAGAGAAGGTAAAGGCAGTTTATTATTATTTGGCTATTTAAGGTATTTGTCTAATTGTATTTCTGTTGTGTGCAGGTTGGCCTGCTACTGTTTCAGTTTTAGTTTAGTTTTGATTTCAGGGTTGCATTAGTTTAGAATTTATTTTCTGAATAGTTAGTGATTAAATTCTTTATTTCTTTTGGGGTTTTGTCGTCGAGGGGAAGTGGAGTTTTTATTGTCCAGCCCTCCAGGCTTGTTTGTAAAGCAAAAGGATCGATGCTGTCCCCGGGTTCCAAGCTGTTTCATCCAGATTCAGGAGAGCAGTGGAAGGAGAGTTTGTCTTTTCTTTGCTTTTTTACTCACAAGGGATTTTTTTTGTGTATGTTTTTGTTTGGGAGCACTCAGGTCCATTTAGTTATATTTGGGTTTTTCTTATTATTCCTCCCCAAGCAGTCTAACTTTATTTAATTGGGTTTTAACTGGCTTTCAGCTCTAAGGTTTCCAGGGCCAACATCGTCTCCTACATTTAGTGTGGTCATTTTTGTAAAATAAAATAAACTGACTATTTATGCCTGTAGGCTTTTTGAACTTTATAAACTGTGTTTATTTTGCAACAGTGTCTTTGGTAATTTTTACAAACTTATCTGTGTGATCTGGTAAAAAGAGAATTTATGTTTCTCCACACATAACAAAAGCTCTGCCCAAGGTCACATACATATTGTGCTATCAACGCAATTCTGATTTTCTGTTTTTTTATGAAAGTGATCTCATGTCTCACATTTTATCTCTTCAGTGATCTTTCATGTTTTCACTTTCTTGGCAACACGGCTTCTTTCACAAGACAAGTCAGTTATTCTCAATTTTCTCAAGACAAAACAACAAATCTGTGTTCCTCTAAAATATATGTAGTCATTTACAGTTTAACGTCAAGACTGATTTACAAAATACAAATACAACCTGATATAACATGAGTCTGTGTGACAAGCTAAAAATCACACAAGAAATAAGAAAATACATTCAAATACGGTCCTTTTGTACAATCAAATGTATCTTGTGATAACTGGCTCTAAGCCCACATTTTTAGAATTCTTTAAAATTATTATTTTAATCATAAATGCTGTGTTTCAATTAGCCGAGGAAAATTTTCTAAATAAACAAAGATTAAAAGCTTGTAAAACTCCCGATGTGTGTAATTACTTTAATACTGTGATTCACTCACTGAAATATATGAACCTTTTGTTAATGTTGTAAAATATTTAATATAACAGTTGAGATTAAACTCAAAGTGGAAAATTCAAAGCGGAACTAAAAATCCTTTACAGTTTCTTCCGTGCAGTCAAAGTGAAACACGGGAATCATCTCAGAGCGCACGAGGGAGCATTAGCTGTTCTTTTGTTAGACGGTTTGAAAACAGGTTTGGAGTTTTCGGTAAATATTTTCTTGTTTTCAGTGAAAATGTCTTCAGTTCAGCTCAGAGAGTTTATCAAGCAGCAGGAAACTCCTGCTGAAGAAACATTCACAGAGTGGAAAGAAATCAACGTTAAGATGGAGGAAGAGATGGACGATCAGCGCAGACTGATGGATTTTACCCGGATACCCAAGATCATCTTGCACCGGATAGGTACGAAACAGCTTTAAATTTTACTCAGCAGAATTAAAAACAGGTTAAAGACAGCTCGAAACAATGTAGGAAACTTTCTGGGCCGATGTTTCAGATTCACTGGTTGAAACATTTGCGCGCCGCAGATGTTTCTGAATTGTAGGTGGCTGTGTGGATGCCTGTTGAAAAATGCCTCTTGTGTGACAAAACCGTTTGCAAAACATTATTATAGATCCCATTTGAAGCAAAAATGTTTAATGTTGCATTTGGAAAATTAGTTTCAAAGCAAGTTTCAACAGAGTCATTTATTCATTATTTAGTCATTTATTCTGAGTGAACTGTAGGCTTTTTGAACTTTATAAACTGTGTTTATTTTGCAACAGTGTCTTTGGTAATTTTTCACAAACTTATCTGTGTGATCTGGTAAAGGAGGATTTATGTTTCTCCACACATAACAAAAGCTCTGCCCAAGGTCACATTATTGTTCAATATTCAATTATTCAGAGTTCAGTGCGCTTCGAAAACACCGCATGGGAGCAGAACCAGATTAATGAGTAACACCACAATACCGAAGCTCATGTTGCAGCGGATAGGTACGAAACAGCTTCACGGTTTACTGATTAGTCAGGTTGAATAAAGTTGGAGATGTTTTAAAGAGGTTAAGCGCTGAACTCAAAGAGCTTTTACTCCAAACTAAAAGACTAATAAATCCTCCGCAGCTGCAAACATTAAATACTTAAAAATGATCAACAGCGATCTATTAGTCATCATATAATATTATTCTATTATGATTTATTAATCATATAATAGGACAAGTACAGTTTCCGTGCCGCCTTTCTGTTTACCGACCAGTTTCAGGAAATACCT